GTAAATTTTCCTCAAGTTTCTATCTACTTTCATTCTCTCCCCATTGCTTTCAAATAGTCTGTCTCTGTATTTTTTAACTCAAATCTTATAAATAATAGCTATAAGAAGGTATATCCAAATGATTTAGTCTGCTGTTACCAAAACCTGAAACACCGATTATTTTAATTTGTGCTTATATTAACAGCAATAGTGAACATTTTTTCCATGTTTATTAGCTATTTTTATCCATTTCATGATTTTCTGTTCATGTCATTTACCCAATTTTCTATTTGTGTGTTTGTTTTTACCTTATTTATCTGTAAGAGTTTGTTATTTATTGAAGACAATAAGATATTATTCATCAGACATATTGTTATTTTGAGGCTCAAATGAAACGAGTTTTAAAATTTAAGGTTCTGGATCGATGGTGATCGTTATATTGGCCTTCAATGTTCACATGAATGAGATCATTTAGCAGAAGAGACAAGTTAAGGAATCTGTTCTTACTAGACATGCCATTGCATAGACAAGGGAGCTCTTGCCTTTTTATAAGGTCTTGTGGTTAACTCGTATGTTGGCGGTGACCTTCCTAATAAGCAAAATCTCATTGGATATATTATCTCTGTACTTATGAGTCACAATGGCATTATTTTCAAACCATAATCATTTACCATACTCACCCATAACTACTGTTAATAGACTGCTGCTTCTCTGCATCAGGAGAAATATTGCAAGGTAACTAATTTTTGCTAAGGACACTGTGGGTCCTTACCAGAACTCTATTCAGACATTCTTCTCTCTCTTTTTTGTCCCTAGGAGTACACCATTGATGTATTTTTTCGACAGACATGGCATGATGAAAGACTGAAATTTGATGGACCCATGAAGATCCTTCCACTGAACAATCTCCTGGCTAGTAAGATCTGGACCCCTGACACCTTCTTTCACAATGGCAAGAAATCGGTGGCCCATAACATGACCACACCTAACAAGCTGCTCAGACTGGTGGACAATGGAACCCTCCTCTACACGATGAGGTCAGAGAGTGGTACCCTCATCTAAAGTATACTGGGGTTAAGACTGGGGTTGAATGCAGCATGTTTTAGGCTATCCATTGAAATTCTTTCATGTTTACAGATTATAAATGCACATATAGGTGTATACTACCTAACATATTTGCAGGTATACACACTCAGACATACATATTATAGATACACATATAGAGAGTCGGCCATATGAACATGGTCAGACACACAGAGGTGTATGTTCATGATATATAAATGTGAGCAATACTCCAAGACACATGTGGACTAAGACACAGGCATAGACGTAGTCAAGGACGCTTAAATGCACAGATTGACAACTGTATACACAGACATGAGCACTGCGACAGTAAGAATAGGCTTAAGGTTTAACTGCAGCAACAAACTCCTATGATGAAGAGTTATGAGAACCAAATGGATATTTTCTGAAACATACAATGTTATAGATATAAATACGAAATTACAGCAACATATACTTAATGCCACATCGTCTGGGAATTCTGAGGAGTTTGATATGTGTGCAGTTTCCAAACAACTTAAGACTATGCCTTTTAAAAATATATATGTTTTTATTTTTCAATTAAAGTTGACATACAGTATTATGTTAGTTTCAGATGTACAACATGGTGATTAGATATTTTTGTGACTTTTAAAGCGATCACCCTGATAAATCTAGTACCGATCTGATACCATGCATAGTTATTACAATATATTTGAGTATATTCCTTATGTTGTACTTTACATCCCAATATCTATTTTGTAACTACCAATTTGTACTTCTTAATCTCTTCCCCTTTTTCATCCAGCTCTCCAACCCCCCTCCCACCTGGCAAACATCAAAATGTTCTCTGTATCTATGAGTTTGTTTCTGTTTTGTTTATTTATTTAGTTCTTTAGATTCCACATGTAAGTGAAACCATAAGGCATTTGTCTTTCTCTGTCTGGCTTACTCCACTCAGCATAATACCCTCTAGGTCCATCCATGTTGTTGCAGATGGCAAGATTCCATTCTTTTTTATGGCTGAGTAATATTCTATTGTATATAAGTACTTCTTTATCCGGTCATCCATCGATTTACGCCTAGGTTGCCTCCATATCTTGGCTACTGTAAATAATGCTGCAATGAACGTACAGATTCACATGTCCCTTTGAAGTAGTGCTTTGGGTTTCTTCAGATAAATACCCAGAAGTGAGATTACTGAGACCTTCTTTGTCTCTTGCTATAGCCTTTGTGTTAAAGTCTATTTAGTCTGGTATAAGTACTGCTACCGCAGCTTTTATTTGTTTGTTTGTTTCCATTTTCATGAAACATCTTTTTCCATCCCTTTCAGTCTCTGTGTGTCTTTTAATCTGAAGTGGGTCTCTTGTGGGCAGCATATGTAGGGTTCTTGTTTTCTTCTCCATTTGACCACCCTATTTTTTGATTGACACATTTAATCCATTTACATTTGAAGTAATTGTTGATAGATATGTAGTTATCGCCATTATTATTTATATTTTTGATCTTGTGTTTTTTCTTCTTTTTAAAGAAGTACCTCCAACATTTTCTGTCATACTGGCTTGGTGGTGATTAACTCCTATAGGTTTTGCTTTTCTGGGAAGCTCTTTATCTGTCCTTCAATTCTAAATGATAGCTTTACTGGATAGAGCAATCTTGGTTGTTGGTCCTTGCTTTTCATCATTTTGAATATTTCTTGCCAGTCCTTCTGACAATCTTATGAAATCAGCTGACGGCTTATGGGAGCTGCCTTGTAGGTAAAGGACTATATCTTTTAAGCAATATATCATACTTTTCTACCTCCAAAGCAGAAAAACCATCACAATTTTATGTTTATCGTGACTCATTATTATCATTAGAGTTATTAGGTGTTGATTTTGCCTCAATACTAAAAACTTTCTTGGTTCTTTTTTATACTTTTGCTAGTTCTCCTGTGAGTTGTCACTTCCTGAATTTCCCTCTCACGTTAATTAATATCAATTTTAAGTAACTGAGTGAACATTTATTTAATAGAAAAAGGTAATCCTTCAGTGCAGGTTCTGTGAGTATTTAAAGTTTGTGTATTATTTTGAATATGCAAAATGAAACTCAGATAACACATGCGTGGTAAATATGTGGTGAATACATGATGTATGCTTGCCAATGTGACAGTCCTTTATTACTTTAAACTTAATATATATTGATGTTTTTCCTGAAAGAATGTGAGAAACAAAAAGCTGGCCAAGGAAGAATGGATAGCAAATAGATACTTAAGAGAAAAGTTGAATTTAGAGACGAGGACCTGAGAGACTAGAGGAGAAATGAGACTAGAGTAGAGAACATAATGATGGAGAAAAGACATAAGGTGGACAGAAGTGGGAAGAAGAGGATAGAGAGGGGAAAGGAAAAATAATCTGGAGAAGAGGTCAATAAAATTAACATATATTTATATTATGGATCTCTTCCCAGATTTTTTATATATATACAAAAATATGTAATATATATATAAAGAGAGGGGGGAGAGAGATTGATTGATTGATTATCAGAGAGAAGAGGGTAGAGGAAAGAATATAAGAAAAGAGAGAAAGAGTAGAAAAGTTGAGAAGATAAAGGAGTAGATGAAGTAAAATAAAGAGGCTAGATGTTATGATATCCTAAGAGAAACAAGGAGAAATTGGAGAAAATCATGCAGTAGATGGGTAGAAAGAAAAGACATAGAGAAATAGGAAAGGACACTGGAAGGAAATAAATTGTAGATGGAAGAAAGATGATTAGTAGTTATTTATTCATTCATCAAACATGTTTTGATTTCCTAATATGTACATGGTCCTGGAGTAAGCTCTGGGTATGCAGACCTTAATAAGGCATGGTCTCTGTCCTTAAGATTATCATAGTATAATAGTAAAGAAAGACTAATAGATAATCATAGAAATGTTAACAGAAATGGTGAAGATAAGGGTAATTGTGAGAGGAACATACAATGCAATATATAGATGATGTATTATTGAATTGTACACTTAAAACCTATATAATTTTATTAACCAATGTCACCATAATATGCTTAATTTTAAAAAAGGGCCATCTAACTTGTTCTTTTGGGTCCGGTTGAACAAAGAGTCCCTGGATGAGGCAACACCTAAGCTCCTGATTATTAGTATTAGTATTCATTTCATATTATTAGATAAGTAGAATGCAATCAAGAAAATTGTAGGTTAAAGTGGAGAGAAGAGAGGAAGGACATTCTAGGCAGAGAAAACCAAGTGAACATTTGCTGGAAATGGAATGGTCTATTATAAGCAAGAGAATGAGGTGGTCAGTTTTTTATTTTATATATGACGCTCTACTGACTGTGTAAAGAATGCATTTGAAGGGAACAAGACTAGAATTAGGGAAACAGGCTAAGAGACAGCTTAAATAGTCTAGGTGAGGAGTGGCGAAGTTCTAATTCAGAGCAGTGGATTAAGATGGAGAAGGGGAGATACGCTAAGGAAACAGGCAGTAAAAACAGCCAATGTCAGAATGACGGCGAAGAGGAGTCAGGGTAGTAGGTACCCAGGTAACATGGGTGAATGAAGGTGGTACAAGCTGGGGTAGAACATGTGAGAGTTAGGAGAAGTTTTAGGTAGAGTAAACCTGCGAGGTTAATTTTAGACAAGATAAGCTTAAGAAGATTTTAGATTATCCAGAGATAGAAGTACAATAGCAGTTGAATATACAAGTCTTAAGACCAGGAAAGAGACACAAGCTAGAAATGTAAAGTTACGTATTGTCAGTATGTTGGGACAACTATATGAATGGATGCGATCACTTCAGGAAAGTAGAGCGATAAGAAAATCATGTCAAGTGTGCAGTCATGTAGCATCACTATCATTAAGGCAGAAGGGAGAAGGAGGAACCTGTGAAGGACACCAAAGAAGAAAAGGAAAGAAGGTCTTCACAGAACCGCTAGTGTACAGTATCTTGAAAGCCACGTGTCGTAGTCAATACCGCTACTTCCGGTATTTCCATTTCACTTCCGAGGTACGTGGTGCTACTGCACTTCCATAGAGCCTTGAGTTAGGCAAGGACAAATGACTTGGTTGGCTAACCAAATGTTAGTGGAAATAACAAGTGTTATTTCTGAGGGAGGATGGGAAACTTTTAAGGGCTAGTACATGATTTTCCATGTTTTCCTTCTCCTCTGGCCACAGTGAGTAGCATCGTGCCAGGTGGCCTTGGTTCTATGGTTCTGTGTCCCTTCTTGAAGATGACATAGAAGAGAGTGCACCTTCCCGCAACCTGAGATAGACCGTGTGAGTGACAAATAAACCTTCGTTGCTTTAGGATATGGAGATTTCAGGAATTTTTTGTTACTGCATATTAATCTAACCCATTTTGACTGATATACAAAAAGAATAAAGGGTTTAAAAAAGATGAGAGCGATCAGTAATAATAACACCAATAATAGCATAATAAGGCCAATTGTTAATATCAATATAGCACTTACAGTGTGCCAGGCACTGTTCTAATCATTTTAATCATATAACCTTCATAACAACTCTATGAGATAGGTACTATTATTCCCATTTTATAGGTGAGGAAACAGAGACATGGTGCATAAGAAAATTTTCCAAGATCACCTAGGTTGTATATGGTTGAGGCAGCATTCATATTCTGGCAATACGGCTGCAAATTCGTGGTCTTTACTATTATTTATACGTTTCTACAACATTGTTGGCTATTACAGAGAGATCAATTCATACAGAGAATTAAAAGTGTGTATTCGGTTTGGTGACATGGAAGACGTTGGTGTCCTTCATATATACTGTTTTATTTTAGGAGTTGACACAGAGGTAGTAGAGACAGTAAACATAGAAAATACTTCCTGGGAGCTTGTTTGAAAATGAAAGGGATGCATATATAATAGATACACTCAGGGATAAAAGAAATAACTTATTTTTTGAATGAAGACACTGGCACATTTTTGTGGAATATCAGAATGGGGCTAGTCGAAAGACAAAGAGTGAAGATGCAGTAGATACAAGATTTTGCCAGCCTTGAGTTTGCAGAGAAAACTATAAGGAGATGATATCAAAACTATAGTAAAAGTTTTACTTGTAAAGGAAGAGGGCTACCTCTCCTCACTGCATCAAAGGATATGAGGTTAGACATACGTGTTGAAAAAGAGGATAGGACAGAATAGAAGTATGAATGGTTATAATGTATGAAAGAGAATTTGGAGAGAATAGAGCACAAGCGAAGGAAGAGATAGAAGAGAGACATGTAATAAAGTGCATGAAAAAGAAGAGTTTGAAGAGGAGATGGGAGTGTACACGATCGCGGAAAGAATGGAGTAGAGTAGAGAAAAAAGAAGAGAGGAGGGATGGCATGATGGTGAGGACATATGGATGGGCAAAAGGCAGTGAGCAAATGGAAGAGATGCTAGGGAAGAAAGAGTGATGAGCAAGAAAGGAAATGAACACATAGAGATTGAGACTAGTACACGCAAAAATACAGAACGAATGAGGAGAACAGGAGAGCAGAAAAACAATAATAAAAGAGAAAGAGGATAGAGGATAGGTTTGAGTTTTAGAGGAGGGATAGATGAGGAGAGAGGGGCTGGCAATGCTGAACTACGAAGAAGGCTGAGGACGCAGAGTGAGGAGGGCGGAAGAGGAAGTGGGCCAGAGGATTAGTCACCTGAAAATAGAGTTGGATGAGTGGGAAGGACATGATCATTGGGCCCTTGCTTCTAGTCTGAATTGGGCGAGAAAGTAGAGTTTGGGGAGATAGGAGTCTCCCTTGTGCTTATTCTCAAGTACCTAATTGAGGAGGTGCAGAGGTTTAGAAGCATGGGGAAGCCATCGATTCTCTTGCACAGTATATGCTTCACCTTGGACCCGGGAAGTTGGGTCTGGAAGGAGACCCTGGTTCGAAACTGAAAATAAAAACTTGACTGTATTTATGACCTCCACGATTTATTCATCGAGTGACCTTTTGCAAGATATAAATTATTTGCTTTCTCATTCCGATAGCAGTGTAGCAGCTGTCTGTCTTGCAGACATATAAAAAGCACAAATTGGATAAGGTCTGAAGAACACTTAGAATTCTTCAGGAAGTGTTCGTTATTCTATGGTATTCCTATTATTATTTGGACCCTCAGAAAGCTTACCATGGTTCCATGGGAAAACTACAGAGAGACAGCTTCTTTGAAAAATCTGACCAAAGGTTGCATAGCTATGTAACTAGGGCAGTTTAGAAGGAACCTTTGCCTCGTCTCATCTTGAGACCTCAAGACAACCATAAAAACACAGGCCAAAGCTCATTACTAGCTGCTCACTGCAGCAGCACACATACTAAAACTGGAACGATCCAGAGAAGATGAACAGAGCCCAGCTCAAGATGATACACGTTTATGAATTATTTTCCATTTTTTTCAGACATGACTATATAGGGAACTGCAATGCTATTGATGACGTCTTATTTATTGATGAAGATGTGGGTAAATATGTTTATCGTATTTTTCTTTATACACAATAACACAGTGTACATGAGTAGGAGGGACAAGTACTCGTTGAATTGAATTAGATTTTATCCCATTGATTTAAATCATTCATTCAACACATTTACGAGTGCTTGTTATGTTTAAGGCTTTGGGACATGTGCTGAGCTACAGAGATAAATAAAATACGTATTGTGCCCTTAATGGCCTTACAGTCTAGTGGTTAAAGCAGATAGCTGCACAATAATTTGAAAATCCTTACGTAGAGGGAGGTGCAAAACGTGCTGAAATTATAGTGTAAGGAGCATTCAAAATCACGTGCAGGCATCAAGGAAAGTTGTAGATAGGAGGCGATTCTCACGCTGTATCTTGAATCTTGAAGAAAGTGTAGGTAACTATCAAAAAGCTGAGGAAGAGGGTGAGGTACAGGAGAGGGTATTCCAGGAGGAGGAAATGACACGCACAAAGGCGGCAGGTATTCATGAATTGACATCATGCATCAGAAAACTAGAGATAAAGTGGTGAGCAAAAAGAGACACGGTCTTCCCTTACATAAGTTACATTCTAGTGGGTAAAACAAATAAATCATGACAATAACGTTAGAGTAAGTGCTATAATCGAGGAAGAACAGAATGGTATGAGAATACCCACAAGGAATGCTAGGGGAAGTCACTTTTAAACTGAGACTTTAAAAACATGTAGAAGTAAATAAGAGTAAAGGACAGGGAGAAAATGTTTCAGAAAGAGGAGTATAGATGGTACGAAGGTCAGGGGAGGGGAGTGAGTGAGGAGGCAGTGATGACACATGAAAGAAACTAAAAGAAGTTCAGTGTGACTGGACCACGGAGTAGAGTACGGGGAAGTGGCCCGGGGTGGAGAAAGAGGTACTTATTAGCCATGTTGGCATAAAAATGACAGGGATCCATTGAAGAGTTTATTGCAAGGGAATGACACAATCAGATTTGCATTTTAGATAGATCTCTAATCTTCAGAAAAAAACTATTCAATAGAAGTATTATTATTTCTGTTAAACTGATCCAGAAAGTAAAGCTTAAAAATGAAAAATGACTTCCCCAGGATTCTTCACTTATTAGGTAAATGTAGGTCTGTCTGGCTAGAGTCTACTGCTTTATCCACTAAATCAGATTTTTGGAAGGATCTGGATCTCTACTCTGTGTTCGATGGTTCTGGTGCCTGATTGAAAATTAGTGGAAGTGGGAGTGTTGTCTGCGTGTTTTCTCTAAAGTAGTCCCTTCGGATGATGGAAGTGCTAAGGGTTAGGAAAAATGTTAATTAATCTAAGTGTTAACATTTCCGTTGAATGCAGAAGAGTAAATAAGCTTTAGGAAAATGGCGGTGATGGGGAGGAGTAGCGAGAAATATAGCCAAATAGCATCCCAATTTGAAAAGATTTCTACATGACAGATTAGGGATACGAGTCTGGAAGTGATACAGAATACGTTTATCCTGCAGGTATAGGGAAGTGTTATTGTTCTTTTTAAAAAAGTGAACAACACGATCAGATCATTCATTTTATAATTCAGTCATGACAGATTAGGAAGGTAGGTTCTGTGTTAAAACTACTCCTGATCCTAAAATGGGGCTAATCATAACAACACCTGCCTCACAAGGCAGTTGTGGGGATTAAAGACAATAAACCAGCTTAATTGCCTGACATTTTCCTTGGCACATGTCCACTCTGTGGCGATATTTGTGTTAATGTCCCCGCTTTTATAATTACTAAGCTGAAGTCTCAATAGAGCCAGTCACACCAGTAATAAGTGAGAGAGATGGTGCAGAAACCCAAGTCACACATGTTAAAGCAAAAATTTGTCCCCCTTACATCCTACCACTAAGACGAGGACATGAAGGATATTAGTTTGAAGCATAACGAGTCTGAGGTGGACGTGACAAGCTGCACTTGTAAATGCAGGCCTGGAACTCAAAACATTGACACAGTGGGATTTTATCAAATTCAATACACTGCGTAAAGTGTCTTCGATGTGTTAGGCTACACAAGAATAGTGTCCTACATTTAATGAAAAATTAAAGGAAATAAGCGCTCATTTCTCCACGTTGCATCACCAGGAAGAAAGTGATGTTTTTTGAACCGATTAAGCTTATTCTCATATTCAGAACTTTATGGACTCCTTTATCCTTTGCTTGGATGATTGGGTCAATTTTAGGACATTCCAAAGACGAATAATTTGGAAGATAAATTGTGCTCGATGCCAGGATTCCCGCACCCTAAATATTAACTGTAAAGCTCTCTTCTTACTTTAGATGCAAATTGCTCACACATGAGTCTTCATTATAGAGATTGCCTCTGAAATGGCCAGGAACCAGGAAAGCATGGGTCACATTGTTAGTGGTTATAGGATTTAATGTAATGGAATCAACCAAGCATCGATAGCTTTGTTTCACAAGGTCCTTTCTTTTGTAATGGCCTTTGCTCTAGGGGATTCCACCTGTAGTTCCTTATTCATTAAGCTAGCAGCTGACTCAGAACCCTCACTTACTGAGCCTCACTCTAATGAACAGAAGTGAGGAGAGAAGAGATAGAGTGGCTCATTTGGGGCTGTGAGAAAGCTTACAATGAAGTGAGAAGCAAGTAAAGTACACGGCCTCAGTCGATCACAAATTACTCTGCGCGCTCTGCCTGGTGATGCCAACCCCTACCTTCCAGGAGCTCACATCCTGCGGGAAAGATAGGATACATTATTCACTGTATTATAAGGCATAATAGAAGTTTTGCAAAAAGCCAACAATGAAGTGCTGCGAGCTAAAAATTACAGCTTTCATTAGGACTTGGAGGCATGGATCCAGATATGGGGGTGGGGCATCACAGGGGTACTGGCATTTGTGCTGGAGGGAGGGAAGGAAGAACGTATTTCTGAGAGGTTTTCTCACATTTGTTTCATTTTTTTGCCAGCTACGAGAGGAAATTGGGGTCTTGAAATAACAAGAATTGCCTTTATTCTCAAAGGCAAGAAGCTGATGTCTAGGCAGATTGAGCGTGTTAAAAAGCTCATTCTAACACGAGGGGCATTTACAGGTCACCAGATGGATCCCTCTAGTTCCAAAGAACCCAGCTATTTTAGACGCTACCCCTAGACAGAGTGGAGATGGTATGTTGTAGCGAAATGGAATTAGGAATTAAGAGCTCTGGGTGTGAGTCCCAACTCCAGCCCAGATCAGCAGCGTAATCATGGACAGGACATTTTCCCTCTCTGGGCCTCGTGTTTTTTTTTTTTCCCCCCCCTGGGAAATGGACTGAAACTATCTGCTCTGCCTATCTTGCAGAAACATATGTTAAGAAGCATTTATTAAATATCTGCTGTGTACTAACCACCATAGTAGGGATTTCTAGAATCATGGAGTAAAGGGCAGGACCTGGGATCTATGGTGAAAGCATAGGATTACGGTGATAAAGACCCTTCTCTCAACTTGCTCACAGTTCAGTGCAGAAGACAGACACGTACATAGACCAATAATATTATGTGCTGTTAAAATGATTAAAGAAAATAATTTAGGTGATAACAAACTTTGTTTAACACCTCACAGAGTGAACGGTCTCCATTGGGAAAACTGCAAAGTGGAGTGGAAGGCAGGAACCTTTTATAGGATAAAGAATAAAGAACAAGGAAGAGACAAATAGAAAAGTTCTGATTGGCGGGAGCCACACATCAACCTCGTTTGGAGTTGGCTTGCCATTTGGGGATTGGCTGACTAGTTATACTGTGTTTCCGGTCAAGCAGAGTATTTACAGGGATATGAAAGTTATTTAAGTTTTAGTTTGTCGACGTGGCCCCCTGGGCACGAGTGGCTCCATCTTGGACCTAGAAGGTTATTTCAACAGTGCTAAGGACTATAGTATTTGTCCAAAGTGCTCTGGGATTTCTGTGAGCCGGAGAACAACTCACTATATCTGTAGTACACATACAAAGCATCATGGAAGAGGTAATATTTGAGCAAGGACTTGAAGAAAATTTGCTGCACATATAAAGAAGAAAGGGTACTCCAGGCAGGAAGACAACAATAATAATGTATATAAAGACACAGAAGCACGAAATCTTTTGCTTAGTACAGTCGCAAGTATTTGTAGATGCCAGGACAGTGTGAATGTCAGAAAATGAGGCTGGAGCTATACGTCTGGGATCACTGTGGAAACTGACATGTGTTCTCTGTCAGGTGTTGGCCTTCCGCTGTCCCTAAGCCTTTTGCCTGTAGTGCAATGGTTTAATGGGAAGCCTGTAGACAACTGGGACTCTTGTGTCTAATGTGCTGCTTGGTTTGGGTGTTCGGTGGGGGTGTATTTCAAGTGACTCATCTCCCACCGATAATGGCTATTAACAATTTACTATCTTTTCTTTTTCACCGTAGATGCCAGGTCCTGCCCTTTACTCCATGATTCTAGAAATAGCCTGCCTGGAACTTAACCTCTCCTGAAGTCATGTTTTCTACCTTTTGGTTTTTAGAAAGAACATTCCTCAGAAGGCAGAGCAGCTTGCTCCACTGCTAAAAGCCCTAGGTGACCTATTGCCTAGGGCTTCATATTGAACTCCAGAGACGCTTGTCCCTTACTAAATTTCAGCAACTCCTTCCTCCATTATTCTCAACATGTTGACAGTCTCACTGAATGACAAGTGCACATACTCAGTACAATTTATATCTTTAACCTTTAAGACCCTAGTTAGTTTGGGAACGTTTTTTTTCTCTGGAGATTTTTTCCTATTTTATGCCCCCACTTACAATTTTTTTTTTATTCCATATACAAAAATCTAGACATCATTTGATGTTTTCTGTCAGGCAGTTGAGAACTAGGTGGTTTATTTTCATTCATATTCATTTTATAATTTTTAAAGTTCTTTAATTAAACAATAATTCATATTGCTTGAGGTATGCAAATGTTATGTTGATAGCTCCACAGCATTC